GGAAGAAGATAAATATAAAACAACATTTAATGTCCCTTTTGGTCAATATGAATGGAATGTTATGCCCTTTGGTATTAAAAATGCTCCATCTGAATTCCAAAAAATAATGAATGTTATATTTAATCCTTCCTATAAATTCATGATAGTTTATATTGATGATGTTCTCGTATTTTCTGAATCTCTTGAACAACATTTTAAACATCTTCATACTTTCATTCACACAGTTAAAAATGCTGGGTTAGTAGTCTCTGCTAAAAAGTTAAATCTTTTTCAAACAAAAATTAGATTTTTAGGACAATATAAATCAAGGGACAATTATCCCAATTGATAGATCCATTCTCTTTGCTGATAAATTTCCTGACAAAATTTTAGACAAAACTGAATTACAAAGATTCTTAGGATGTCTAAATTATATAAGTGATTTTACCAAAATCTAGTTCTTGATGCTAAACCCTTATATGACCGATTAAAGAAGAATCCTCCACCATAGACTGATATCCATACTTTGGCTGTACAACGACTTAAATTAAAAGCCAAAGAATTACCATGTTTAACTTTATCTAATCCTACAGCTTTTAAAATAATTGAATATAATGTTTCTGAATTAGGACTTGGTGGCATATTAAAACAATAAGTTGATTCTAAAGAACAATTAATACGATTTACTTCCAAAGCTTGGAATCCTACAAAAAAAAAAAATTTATTCTATTGTGAAAAAAGAATTACTTGCTATTATTCACTGATTTGCAAATTTCAAACTGATATTTTAAACCAAAACTTTCTTATTCGCATCGATTGTAAAGCCGCAAAAGATATTCTGCAAAAAGATGTTCAAAACCTTGTTTCCAAACAAATATTTGCCCGTTGGCAGGCCATTTTATCTGCCTTTGATTTCTCTATTGAGCATCATCACCGCTCTGCTAATTCTTTACCTGACTTCCTTACCCGTGAATTTTTGCAGGGGGACCGTACCTTACCCACACTTCCTGAAGAAGAGACACTTCCATACGGTTTGCAATTATTTCTTGCCAATAAGAATATCAATATGAATAATCCTCCGAACAAAAGAGGAAAACAACCCATGGACTTAGTACCAAGTAATATGTTTGAGCCTCTTATGCCCATCCATTCCTCTTTGAATCTGACACCTATGTCACCTCTCAGATCCACAAACATACCTGAATACTTGATCCAAACTCCTCTTCAAAGTCCAATACAAACCCCGAGTCCGGCATTTTCTCCGACAACATACCCAAATAAGCAAACCTCTACCTCTGTTAAGTCAGTCTATAGAGATACAGCATTCCTCACAGATATACCCATTTCTGATAACCATGCACAAATTGACCCAAATAAATTGGCTCCCCTTTACCTTGTAAACTATTTAAATCCATCACACGTGGTCAAAACCCGTGAATGGTATGAATCCATTCTCATAGAAACCGGTTTAGTTTCGAATGTTCATTTTTATCAAGGAACTACTAAAGTATATGCTTATTCAAAATTTCAAATCAAAAAATTACTTTCTTATGACGATTGGGGATGTAATCCTTTCTAAGGGAAAAAATTGTTAAATCCAGAATTCCAATATAAATATTATAAATATGCTGAGTACATAGAAGCCTGGCATAATGTATTCTCATACCATAATCCAAATAATACTCACTCTTGGTAGTTGCAATTTAAACTTCTTATTGACGAAAGATTCCCAAACTGGTTCCGCCACTGGTTTTTAATATGGGGATCGCAGACACAAATCTTACCGGATTCGTTTCAAGCCTTTCAAACCAAATTTGCACAACGTAATACTTGCACCGAACTAGATGATTTTCATCTCTACTTCATGGCCATCTACCAAATACCTTGGATCCTAAAATGGGATTATGCCCTCTCTGAAAATAATACGTATAATTATGAGTACATTCCTAAACTTGGCAAAACCATCAAAGTTAAATGGTGGGATATTTTTAGTACTGATCCTACCTCCTTACCCCTTAAACGCATACCTCCTCAGAATAATATCCTGAACCCACAAGCACATAATACAGTCAGCCTACCTACATTTTCTGCTTATTTGTAAAAGATGAGATTAGCACACCCTAATGCTACCCTTGAAGAATTAGAGCAAAATCTTCTCAACATCTTTGCTCCTGATAGCTGCGACCCAATACTGCGGCCCGAACAATTGCGACCCGATACTGCGACCCGACCAATACAATCAAAATCAGCAACAGCTCATACAATACAACATAAAGCAATTCGTATCTTAACCTTTATTCGCGACATGACCATAAAAGTAGATTCCTATACTCCCTTTATTCGCGACATGACTCCACTTTATGTCCGATATGACTCCACCCACCGTCACACCTCCCGCAGATGCTCGCCACGAAGCTTCAAGCACAGTACCAGAGATTCCTCCATCACGTCACCTCTCCACTAACCAATCAGCAACGCTACCTTCAACACGAAGAGATTCCTCCGTCACGTCACCTCTCCACTAACCAATCAGAAAGGATACCTTCAACACCAAGTTACCTCCCGCCAATCAAAACGGATACCTTCGTCACCAAGTTACCTCTGGCCCTCTATAAATAACTCCCTTCACCTACTTATCAAAAAAAGGCAAGGACTCTCGGCAGACCAAAGAAGATCAAGCCCTGACCTCTGCTCTTTCCTCTTCTACCTTCTTCTACTCTCTTTTGCTCTTCTCTCTGTTTTCTCACTCTTCCTTTATTTACTTGTTTTCGCCATTTGTTGAATCTTTTATGAAACAAAGATACTAATTTAGGATCAAAAGTTTCTACATACCATTCTCTGATATTTTTATTTTCGCGGGATAAATAATGATTTATGATGAATTCTTTATCCAATGTTTCTTCAAGTTGTAATACTTGAATGAATTCTGATTCAGCAGGTTCTTCTTGAGCCTGTTTATATTGAGGGATAATGATATTATCAGATGTTCTTAATAGCCCATCAATTTGTGGTTTTATTGGTGTTGATGGAATAGTTATGATGGGCGGAATTCTATTGTAAGTAGTAACAGATTTTCTTGCTGGTTCTGGTTCTCGGAAAGAATAAAGACTTGAAGTACCCGAGATGGATGAATCATCCAAAATTCTATTATTTGTGAGTTGGATTTCAATATTTCCATCTGTATATTCAATAATTTTATCTGGAATGTTTTGGATAGATGTTTGTGATGGTTGATTTTCATTATGGATGGACCATGTTTGTGGTAAGATAATATCTGACCATGATATTGTTTTTGGTATAATCGTATTGGATTTTTCCATATTGGTTTGGAAAAATATTGTTTGTCCTCTGGTATCTATTTGAAGTACATTTGGACATAACGTATTCATAACTTTATAATAAATACGATAAATGATGGCTATGTTTTGAGAACCTAACATCATACTAAATCCTTGAGTTTTTAAATTTAAAGATAAAACATTTAATATATTGGGATCTGTAAGAGATACAGAATAATTTGGAAAACAATTGAAGTATATTGGTCCACTACATAAACTAGATTCGACCATCCTTAGTAATGAATCAGAAAATCGGTTATACCTAGTATCGCGTAAGCATACTAAGATAGAATTATTTAATCCTAGACGAGTTAAGGGTTTCACAGCTATTTGGATTAATCCTACATGTAAATATTTATAGTTTTTTGTTTTATGGACTTGTAATATTTTTTGAGATAGTAATTGAAAATCTTCTTGATTACTTGTAACAGATAGAGTCTGTTCTACTGTTTTGATAGCATATTCGATTTTTAGATCGAATGTGCCTTTCTTATAGACATCTGATATTGGAACTTTGGGTATGTTCTAATTTTGTATTTGATTTTCAATATCATTAATAATAATTTCTTCTTTATTTTTTATCCTTAGAGTTCTATTAGTTGCACTGGTTGTTTTATCCGTTAGATTCTTAATAAATTTCTCCATTATTAGGTTGCGGTTGACTGTTATCTGGACAGTCCTCTTTGACTACCTCTTACGTCTTCTAGACCTCAGCGGCTCTCCTGGCCTAAACGGTCAACTGACTGGGTGTCTGAGCGTCTCTAACATATATATATATATTGATATTTAAAATCTTTGAAGAGTTATTTACGTATGAACCTTAAATAAGTTAGAAAAATATGAGTTACTCCTTTTATACCCGAAAATTACAATCAAGGTCGATCAACGGGATCTTTTTTTTATCCAAAATTACCCCTCTGTCCAAAGATGATATCCTCGAACCGCTTTTTTTTGTCAAAACTTGAGTTGCAGTCCGAGGATGGCATTCTCGGACTGCTTTTAAGCTCTAGGGATGGCATCCCCCGACTGCTTTTTTTTTTTTCAAAACATAAAGTTGCGGTCCGAGAATAGAATTCTCAAACCGTTATTATTATTATTATTATTTTTAATTTAAGTTTAGGTCCAAGGTTGAAATCTTTGGACCGTAACTTAAGCTTTGAAAAAAGAAAAAGCACGGCCTGAGGATTTACCCTGAGACCGACCGAGGGGTAATTTCATCAAAAGAGAAGTCATGTTGACTAACCTTGATCGTAATTTTCAAGTATAAATAGAGCAACTCGTATTTTTCTAATTTATTTAAGGTCCGTAACTCAAGATTGAAATTTGAGCTCTCTAACATTATAATCCGGAGTAGAATATCTTTTGGCTGTTACTTCTACTCGATGCACTAGGGGGAATTGTTTCAATGTGAGAGTTTGGGAGCCACTTGAGAATCACTATATGATTAGGATAAATGTTTTTCTTTATTTTATTTTATTTTTTTTTAAAGCAACCATTAGTATGAGAATTGTTTGAAGATCAATCCCCTATAAAACCACCGACAGATCATATTTACTTTTATTGTTTGGGGTATTTTTTTCATTTTGCTGTAGGGGTATGTACCACTTCTATTTTCCCATTTAAATCCGCTCCTCCTTTCATCAACCTCATAATATTGCTGTGTTATCCAATCCTGAACCATAGACTTGTCCAAAACCCTAACCCTTAGTGCCACCAAGATTGGTGACACCATGGAGTTCACAGATCACAACCCTAATTCCACCTCCATTGCTTCACAACACAGCACCAATGGAACCACCATTGTCACAGAGAATAGAAACCCTAACCCTAATGGTGCTCAGCCCTATGTTTTGATGTTCCCAGTCATGTCACAAGGCCATATGATCCCCATGATAGACCTCGCCCGCATGATCGCAGCCAGAGGCCTTGCTGTCGCAGTGGCCACCACCCCCCTCAATGCTGCCCGCATCCCCTCGGTGCCGCTTCTCCGTGTGCTCGAGCTGCCGTTCCCAGGGACTGAGGTGGACCTCCCACGCGGGTGCGAGAGCCTCGACGCTCTCCCGCAACTGTCGCTCTTCCCGGAATTCATGAAGGCGACAAGGCTCATGAAGCCGAAACTTGATGAGATCTTGGCGATCGATCGGCCTTTGGCCATCGTCTCCGACTTCTTTTTGCCATGGACCTTAGACACAGCGGAAAGAATCGGGGTTCCACGACTGGTTTTTCAAGGGATCAGCTGTTCTGCGCACTGTTGTCTCGAGTTGGTTAAAAAGTTCAGGCTTTGGGACGCTGTAGACTCGGATCACGAGCCATTCGAGTTGCCTGGTTTGAGTATAAGGCTCACTAAGGCTAACCTGCCTCCCCTTATGCGAAACCCCTCGGCCGAGCCCCCGGGCGTCATCGAGTTTTTTAACGAGATTCGAAGAGCAGACTCTGAGAGTGCTGGGATCATATTTAATAGCTTTTACGAGCTCGAGCCAGATTACTTCGAGCATTGCAGAAAGACCACACGAGCGTGGCACGTTGGTCCAGTCTCAATGGTGACCCCAGATACGGGTTCGAGGGGCAAGGCAGGCTCGGTCGAGTGCCTGGCTTGGCTCGACATGTTTGAGCGGGGAACAGTCGTGTATGCCTGCTTCGGGAGCATGTGCAGGTTCGAGTCCGATCAACTGGCCGAGATAGGGCTTGGGCTCGAGGCCACTGGCCGCCCATTCATATGGGTCGTGCGCGAGACCACAGAGCCACTTGGTTCGATAAGTGGGCTCGATGGGTTCGAGGAGAGGGTCAAGGATAGGGGCCTAGTGATAAGGGGGTGGGCTGCTCAGGTCTTGATCTTATCACATGAATCGGTGGGTGCATTTATTACGCATGGGGGTTGGAACTCGGTCCTAGAGGGGGTGAGCTCAGGCTTGGCCATGGTGACTTGGCCACTGAGTGCTGAGCAATTCATAAACGCAAAGATGGTTAGTGAGGTGATGGGGATAGGGTTTGGGGTTGAGAGAGTTGGGAAGGAAGTGGTGAGGAGAGAGAAAGTGAAGGAGGCGGTGGAGGAGGTGATGGGAGAGGGAGGAGAGAGAAAGAGGATGAGAGCCAAGGAGTTGAAGGAGATGGGTAGGAGGGCGGTGGAGGAAGGAGGCTCTTCCCACATGAGTTTGGGGAGGTTGGTGGAGGACCTGCTCAATGGACTCAAACAAGGAGCTTAATGGTTTAGACTTTAGAGAGAGAGAGAGTTGAGATGCATGGTTTAGAGAGAGAGAAAGGTAAATATTTGAAAGAGAGAGAGAAAGAGTTGCAGAGAGAGATAGGGAAGGAATTTTTGAGAGAGAAAGAGAGGTATATTAGAGAGTAAGACAAGAGGGAGAGGATGCTTTTGCCTGAGTAAGATGAATTGGAATTAGTCAGTCGTGAGCACCTGGTTTTGTTTGCTGTAGAATACATGATTCTTATTAAATAAAGTAAATTGAAGTTTAAGATTGTATTAAATGGAGTAAATTGAAATTTAATTTGTCTTATTTTGTGGTGAACATCGATTATCATATGCCAATTTTTCCAATGGAATTGTGTCTTCTTTTTTTTTTTTAATATGAAAATTACAAAGAAGATCGATTAACCTACTTTTTTTTTTTCCTTCTAAATTTCCTATCAACCAACCCAAATTTTGATATTTTTTTTAGTTTTTTTTTGTTCGTAAAAAACTAAAAAAAATAATTAAAACTCAGGTCGTCTGAGAGGCAATTTTGAAATAAATTAAAAGCCAGATGACACAACTTCTTTGTAGTTTCCGCCTATAAGCAAGCACTATGTGTTTAACCTTTGTAATTTCTGCCTATAGGCAGAGCATTACGGATGTGAATCACTCTTTCATTTAAAATAATTTAGTTGGGGTACGTTTAGTTGGCATGAAAAATTTTTCATCCAAATATTTTCACAATTAGTATGAAAAATATTTTCACGCGAAACAAAGTGTCCTTAGTTAATTGGTTTTGCAATTTTTGTTGAGACTTAGTAGTACCTAGGTCCTATTATGATGGGCAGATATCGTGGGACTTGTTACTATTCTTATGGGATTTTGTAGAAACAATATTAGTTAGAGAAATATTAGTCTGAGAAAGAAGGGGAGATCAAGAGGGAGAGAAAATAGTTGTTTGAGAGAGAGGAGGGATTCACGTGTGTCCAAAAACATGTGGTAAAATTTTGTTGGTGCGTGATTTAAAGCGGTACAAGATATTCTCTTTACTTTTGCTCTTTTTATTTTTTAATTTTATTCTTGATGACTAGTATTAAAAAGGGTATAACGCCCATGAGCAATATTACATTATTTTTTAGTGAAATTTATCTTACGAAAAGAAGAGAGCTTCTTATTTGGTAACGTTACAAAAGTCAAAGAAAAAAACAAGAGAGAGAGATTCTTCTTTTTTTGGCTTGATTTACGGCCGTGATTTATCTATTTTGTTGTTGATTTATTTGTTTGAGGAAGAAAAGAACTGGTGATATAATTTCCCACCTATTCTCATTATATCAAATATCCATCCCAAATTTAAACTTCAAGTTAAATTTAGCATTTTTATACGAGGATAAGGTTTGTATAAGGTGTGAACTCAGTGCTCGTAAAATCGAACCGGAACGGTTAACTGGGAATGGGCTCAAAAACGATTTAACCGGCCGATTTAACCGTTCTAACCGGGTAAATCCCAAGCGGTTAAAACAGTGTTGAAAATTAAAAAAGATACAAAAAAATCTACCAAAATATGAAAAACATAAAAAGCATGATTAAAACAAAACCCATTCAAATGAAATTGAAAATTAATGAAAAAATTAGATTTTAACGAATCGATTTTTGAATTAAAGTGATTATTAATGACCAAAATAATTTTTAATTTTTAAAAATACATATCAAATCAAATTCTTTACTTTTTCAAATTTTTATATATTTTTTAAAATACCGGTCGATTGTCAAACCCACCCAAAACTGAAACTAGCCAGTAACCGAACAATTAACGGTTTGATCGCCCAATTTTTCCAACAGTGTACGAACCTTAAGCAATTAAAGTAAGGTGCACCTCTAAGCATTCCTAAAAGATGCAATTCTAGTATGGAAAACCCTTACAATAGAACATAAATATATTTTCATACCTAATTAAGATATTTATATATTAAAAAATATTATAAATCAAACATATCTATAAACAATTAAAATTATGAAAATAGACTGTGTTTCAAAATGCACTAACTTCATATTCACTTTTTCATGTCCATACGGTCAACATAAACAATTATAGGGTTTTTCAAAGGCGAAACAAAATTTTTTAATAAAATATCAAGTGCACCTTGTTTCTACAATATAGTGACACCTTGTATAAACTTTTCGCTTAATAAAATAATATTTTAACTAGAGCATTATTCGTTTTTTTACTCAACGACGCAAATATACATTTTTGCTCAACGGCGAAAACAATATCTTTTGCTCAACGACGCAAATATACATTTTCCTCCGTTAGAATTGCATCAAGCAATTGAAAACAACTAAAAAAATAAGAAATCAAATTTCAAATCTGGTGGTGGTAGGTATGAAAACAACTAAAAAAATAAGAAATCAAATTTCAAATCTGGTGGTGGTAGGTATGTTATTGATTAGACTCGAAGTTAAAAATAAAATAAAAAATATCTTTGAACTTCATGACACACTTTAAACTATCCAATTTGAACTAGTAGAAATCATAGCCTCCTTATAATCCTTCGAAAATAACCAATAAAAATTAAGAAATCTATGGAAGGGCAATCCATCTAAACTCCAAGTCAACCAATCCTTGTTGAACAACATTTCACAATACATAATAAAGAGTGTGTGTGCAAAATTTTGGGTCAAATATCACAAACATGGTTTTCTAGAAGTGTGGTTGTATTATACTATGATACAACCGCGGCAGTGATTTCATGCAACAATTGTATTATAGTATGATGCAACAACCTTTAAAAATATATTAAGGCTATTTGTTTGATCCAAATTTTCAAATATATAATATTTTCATTCTAATGAACAATCACAAGAAATGAAAAATTGAAAATGCAACCGGAAAAGTATTATTTAGCCCAATTAACATAAGCCATCCATTTTGGTGAGATGCTTAGATCTAAGCTTTAGAAGGATTTTTTGTTTCCAGTTTTTTTAGATAGATTTATTATCATTAGATGAGCAATATTAAAAAATAAAAAAATGATTTTGAGTTTGTAAAGGCTAAGATTATGATATTCACCAAATGAATGGTTTAGATTTGTTGTTGGAGGGGACTCATTTTGACCATATCTAAGGTTCAAATTGAACTTTTTTTTTTTTTGGGATTGATTATTGAGATGAAGAGAGTGTATGCAAAATTTTGGTCAAATATACATTATACTATGATACAACCGTTGCATGAAATCACTGCACTAACTGCATCATTGTAAAAAAAATCAAAACACCTTTAAACATAGGTCACGGAACATAGTTTAAAAAGCACAGTGAAGAGAAAGGGTCCAAAACCAGGGAACTCACGTGCAACAAAAGTGCCTTCCTACCTTCATTTTCAACTGCGATGACAAAATTAGTGTTAAACCAAACATTCATCCTAAAAAAAAAATTCAAAATTTGGTATTCTCTGGGCTTGGTTGATGGCCCTGCCTCTTCTTTGATGGATCACCTTTAATTGATTGGACTGGCCAAATGAGAATAAACACCTCTACAATTCCCCTCCTCCAAGTGCAGTGCCCCACTGCATTGAAAGGATCGATTACTTCGGAATACCCTCCTTATAATTCATAATCTCGGCCTTGATATAAGGATTAGGGTAAGGGAGGGGGTCAAACCTTGATATCTATGCCATTAGTTAGAGCATTACTAAAGTTCTTGCTGCTTTTTACCTGAAATACCAAAGGAGATTAATGCGGTAATGTTGAGCTCTAATTGATCTCTCTGTTAGGAAACCCGTAGTTATAATTAGGGTTAGTTAGTTACAAATGAATAAGATTTGAACAATTTTGAATATTTCAAATACTGTATTTTAATAAAAGGAGCGAGGGATAAATTTTTTTTTTTTTAAATATCTACGCTTTGTGCCATTTGTGCCTCAGTTAAAGTCTTGACTTCCATTATCATATAACACATTTGAAAACCACTAACGACTTGAAAAACGGATAGGAACTTGTCATCCCACTGAAACCCAAAAGAAAGAAAAAAAAAAAAATTCCCCTTGAAAATGAAAGTTTTGTATAAGGTCTTGCCTAGAGGCACTCTACTTGTTGCTGATCCTCGTAGTCGTGAGCCTGAGAAGCAAAAGCTCATCATTTATGGGCTAAGTGCTCGGCTCCAACAAGGACCATCGAAAAACTCATACGATTTATTTTTATATTTTTCTCTCTTTTTTGAGTTCTCTATAATACCTCTAATTATAAATCAATTTTTCTAAATTCATGTTTTATAGAGTTATTTTTTAATATTTTAATAATTATGTGTAAGGCTTGCACTTTCTTGTGGACTTATTTTCAAGGGGAGAGAGAGATGGAGAAATAAAGAGAGAAAAGGGGTTCGGGGAGATACGGGGAGAGAGAGAAAGAAAAGTTTGAAGAATATTACATCAAGAGAGAGGATGGGTTTATAAATGGTATATCTTTCTCATATTTGTGTGAATAATAAGTTTAAAGTGGGTAAATTAGTTCAGGAGGTTAGAAGATATAATACCAAAGAATTCTATATCCCAAGATATATTTTGAAACTTTAGATCTATTGAGAATTGAAACATAAAAATATAAAGTATAGAGATATTTTCCTTTTTCTATAGTAACCTAGAGAATTTATTTGGGAAATTTTTTGATAATTGAGATTAGTCTATGGGTAGTAGAGATTACATCCCCAAAATTTGAGGGGAAGCTTTCCCCTATAGCATAAAACTTATATGCTTCCCCTTATCCAACCATCCATTCTGAATGGACGGCTAAGATTACCCTAATCACAATATCACGTCTCTACATAATTTTATTTTTAATTTTTTTTTTATAAACTATTTTGACACTAAATTTTGGACGTCCAATCCTCTATTAAACTCGTACTAGCTAAAAATATTAAAAAATTATTTTCAATAAAATAAAATGACCAAAATACTTTTGAAAGTTTTAAAAGGTATTTTGATCATTATATTTTATCGAAAAATTATTTTTAATATTTTTTATAGGTGCGCCCCAATGAGAAGATGACACGTACCAAATTTCATATTTATACAATTTGTATAAAAAAACCAAAAATAAAATACTTTGAGACGTTGGATCTAAGATTAAACGGTGAGTGGCTCTCTTGACCAAAATTGAATGGCTGGATGGTAGGGAAATCATAGATCTCTATGCTGTAGGGGAAGGATACAAACCTTTCCCTAATTTTGAGATCTACATAATATCGGTGTTTTGCCCCAGGGAGCCCAGGGAGTATAGAATACTCCAGCGGGAGTTGGAAGTCTTTTAGGTTTTAAAAATGGATTACTAAAGGGGCCCGCATTTCTACATGAATCCGGAGACTCATGGAAACCTTGTCCCTAGATTCAAGTCCCGAAACGTACATTTGGGTAGTGTGCGTGGTCTTATCTGCTTCTCAGTCACAGCCATGGCTGCACCTCTCACATCTCTGGTATTTCTTAACCTATCCGAATAATGAATAATGATGTAAATAAATAAATAAATAACCAATTTTGTTTTCATTTTGCCATTATGTTTTCGAAATATTTTAGTGTTTGTAATGTTTTTCTCATGGCTTAGGCTCCACATTTTGCCCTACTACCATTTCTAATATATCCCTTCCCTAAGACTAAAATGAAGACGAAGTAATGGAAAAAAACTACTTTTTGTTTTTGTTTTGGAAAAAAGTTGGAATATTTGCAATTTTATTTTATTATTTTTGCAGGGAAATATCAGAGCTACTGCTTCAAGTCCTAACCACATGTGCAGCATCCGGTTACTTCACTGCCCCTCTAATTTCCTGAAATTTCAGAAATGTCCATCAATGGCGAGCTTTTCCTCGAGCGTCTCTTACTCTGATTCAAAGCCCCTCCTCTTTATATCTTCTTTGACACAAAGAAGAATCACTTCATTTAGCTCAGTTCGTGCTGAAGCAACGGTATGATTTTATCTTGTTTATTCTCTTTTTCTCTCCTTTCTCCTTTTACATTTTTTCAATTTTTTTTAGTTGCAGTCTGTATAATGCATGTGTACTTTAATGGAAATTGCAGGAGAAGGGTTTGTGATTTAATGGGAAATTGCTGCAAATTAGTCCGTTCAGTTCAATTGTTTGTTTTATTTAGTGGTTCACATTCTTAGCTTTGGTTAATATCATGTTAGGTTATGCGCTGATTCCTTTTATGAGAATTATTGCATATGCTCTTTGCGTTTTTTGGTAATGTATTATCGGTATTTGGAGTTATGTCAAATACATTACAGTTTAAAGTGAGAATTATGATTTAGGGACACTTCTTGTATGTTGTCTTACTTTTATATTGTTATCGTATTTATGGGACCTCTGTGTCTGGGATTGCATACGAAGTTGAGTTGTTCTCTTACTGAAAATCACAGCCTCTTTTCTTTCCCTCTGTCAATTTTGCTTCATTTCTTATTGGTTTTTGGCATTACAGTCTCCAGAATTACAGGCAAAGGTCACGAAGAAAGTTTATTTTGATATAACAATTGGGAAGCCAGTGGGGAGAATTTTGATGGGTTTGTTTGGCGATGAGGTTCCACAAACAGTAGAGAACTTCAAAGCTTTGTGTACAGGTTTGCTGTTATTTGATCGTTTTTGTTGCTTATGATGATAATAGGTAATGGCTCCTGACAAATTTCTTTCTTACAGTTACTTATTCTATGTTTTATTTTTGTCTTGCTTTAACCAGGAGAGAAGGGATTTGGGTACAAGGGATCCACTTTTCATCGTGTGATTAAAGATTTCATGATTCAAGGAGGAGACTTTGACAAGGGAAATGTGTGTATTTGTGCTCTATTATATCTGCAGAGTTTGACATTTATCTATGTTTTTCTTGTCATGTTTATGTATGTGTAATCATTCTTCTCTGTCCTAAAAATTAGTACTTAATTCATCTCCAATACTACAATAATTTTTGCTTATAATGGATTATTTGGAGGTGTTTTTCTTCAACTCATGCATTGTTTTTTACCTGCTAGCATTTGGACGTCATGGTGTAGGCATGCTATAATATGGGGACATTCGATGTAGGGGCATTCGATGTAACTATCTTCAAATAGTTATTTGGATAGTTTCATTGTTTTACTCAACTTTTGGGTTTCTTTTGCTATTATATCACAACAAGCATTCCACATTTTTTCTCTGACAGTAAGAACGCATGCTCTTTAATCATATAGATGGAGGCTCAAATCTGTGGGTTTGTGCGTTTGTGTGCCCATGCTCTTTTATTGTACAATTGGAATAAATGTGCTAGAATGTTCTATTGCATGGAAACTTGAAAGCTTTGTAGGTTGAATAATGTAAAACAATTGTGTGACAGTCTGAAACAACCATGCACCTTAAGTATATGCATGCAAGACTTGTAATTTTATGCAAGAATTGACTTTGGTGAATGTCTATGTGGGAGCATGTTTGTGTAAGAAAAATGAGTTTCTGACATTCAACTTAGTGGAATGGAGCTCTAATTTTCAATCTTAGGTTGCACGCTTGAATCCTGTCTTTACCTTTGGACAAAAATCTCAAAAACACGTGTTCGACTCAACTGGTTTGCATTCGAGAGCTTGACTTGGGGCCTCATCGTGTTATTGTTGAGACTCCTTCCTAGTTTTAACATCCTTTTCTTTTTGGGCATGTCAACGGGCATAGTAGCTGGGAATGGGATCCCCGATGTCATGTTGTGGTTTAGCCACCCTGAAGGCCTGAACACCCGGCCCCCAATTCCATTCAAACATCCTAGTTCCCATATATGATCTTATTCTGTTGTCTTTTGAAGGCTGACATGAATTCTAAGTTCATAAAAACAAAAGATCTTGTATGACACAAAGCATAATTTATGGCTTCATTCATGCTTCACAAGTATTCACGTTACAGAACTTGCAATATAGCGTCTTACTGATGGAAAAAAATATAAACTTCGAATATAGCAACTTTTATAATGAAAGCTAGAGTAAAATCACCATAACTTGAGACCATAATAAAGGATCGCCATAATTTGAGAAGCAATTCAAAAATTTAGTTCCTACATTTTGCATACTCATATAAAATGAATGTGAGTTAAACATCATGTTTGACTGAAATATTTATTGAATGTAAGATAACTTGAACCTATTTAAGTTGTTAATCATTATCACAGATATGACTTCCATAAATGATCTCTCTTGTCCCTCTTCATTAACATCAGTCATGGCCATCATCATCATCTCCATATTTGTGCAATCTCCACCCTTCTTTTCTCCTTACTTAGAAGAAGTCCTAAGTCCTCAAATAGTTGTGTCAATGTCGGGGTTTAAGCCTTTATTTCAAGGGCACTGTTATCAGTACATCAAAGTTTCTTAGAATTCTCTTGTTTTTTGTAAGCTTGAATCTTGATCCCTATGTCATCGTTTGAGCTAAGGAGTAGCTTGTCTATGAATACTAGGTGGGTGAGGTTTCCTAGGGTTTTCAAGATCTCGGAAAGGGTTTTAAGATCATTCATCTACACCATGTTGATGATACCCTTCCCAATTGACTTCCTTGATTTAAGGTCACATATTGAGTTTAGTTTTGAAGGTGAACAAATACTTAAATTCCAACATAATTTGAAATCTATAAAGAAAGTAGGCTCATTTTTAAATGTTTTGGCATTGGTTCTAATTGTTTGATAATTGCACCATTATGGCCGACCAAGGCAGTTCCAGTCTAAGCTATCAGCCATTGTTTAAAATTCAAGTTCAACTTGGGAACTGATGCTTTGTGAAACTGGATGGGTATTCTTAAGTTCTTAACTTTTTGCTTTTTGGTTGTTCTGAAAAATAAAAAAAATTAACTATATAAACTAGAACGAGCTTACTTTATGCTAATTTGTATATTATTCATTATTGGTTCTTTGCATTAATTAATGCATTTAAGAATTTAAACTACTAAATTACTAATATTAGCTAGTAATTGCTATTCAACTATTCAGAATTTAGCACAAAATTCTAATTTTTTTATGGTTAATATACAATTGTAGTAGTATAATATGATTTAAGGGACTAGTTTATGCCATATTTTTCAACCACCCCGGGCCATGAGTACATTTCACACCTCTCTCTAAAGGGAATTGTATGCATTGGGTCTGAACCGCACATTATAAGCGTGGTTACTAATAATGTGGTTGTAAAAACTAGTTCCCCTCTATTTATTTTAGTAATGTATGTGTATGCAAAGACATTCCAAAATGCATATTGCATAATCCCCACATACATGTTATGGTTCTTATGAATCTTGAATGTTAATTCTATAAATTTACACTCACATGCTTAATGATGCAAGGGGTTGAAGGGGGGGCACTTGAACCTTAAAACTCTCATCCAAGGGACATTGTAAGGTGTGGACTCAAATTTTCCAGTCTGGATCCACTGTTTTCAAAGAAAAACCTGGAACTGAGAATGGGAAAATAAAAAAATAAAAACAAAAGTTTGGAAGAAGTCACAAAAACAGAACAAGTTGGGCAACTTGAAGTTTGGCTTCCCTAACTTTTCTTTGACTTACGTAAGAATTACTTTCTCTAGTCTGAAGTTAGGTAGTGCATTCGGTCTGAACTGTACGATTAACCGTATTACGATTGTATACGTAGGGTA